ACAAGCGAAAGCCGCCCCGGGAAGGGCCAGGAGACACCGGGGTCCTCGGCTGCTGCCACCGCCCCGGGGTGGAGATGTCCCAGGTGGCCCTGGGGATGGCGGGTGACACTGATTGCACCTGGGTCACCCTCTCTGGGCACGGGGTGGTCACCTCCCACCTTGAAGACCCTCCAGACCCCTGTGCCGTTGGGGTTGGGGGAGCGAGGAAGGGGAGGTGACACACCTCCGGGGTTGGGGACAGTGCCCAGCTGAGGGGGACAAGTGCCACCCCCATCCCCGGTGGCCCCTTGACTCACCAGAAGCGACTCGCAGGGCTCAGCTGGGTTGGCAACGGGACGTGGCCTCGCCCATCGCTCACCCACATCTGCGGCGTTACTCATCGGGGACGTGCAACCGGCGCCAGGTGCCAAAGGAAGGTGACACGTAGGTCCCTGGGGACCTCCGGTCCGGTGATGGCCTCCAAGGGGCTGTGTCCGATGGACAGAGGGAACGAGGGTCCCTCCTTGGTGGTGGCATCCCGTCGCGCACGCCAAGCCCCGCCCTTGCGCACGCGGGCACAGGCGTGGGCGTAACGTGAGGTCTGCCCGGCTCCTGGCGTGCTCGTGTGTGCGACATGGGCAGATGGATGGAGGGATGGACAGACGGATGGAGGGAGGGATGGACAGAGGGACGGAGGGATGGACGGAGGGATGGACAGACAGACGGACAGAGGGATGGACAGATGGATGGAGGGATGGAGGGATGGACAGAGGGATGGACAGAGGGATGGACGGACAGAGGGATGGAGGGATGGACAGACGGATGGAGGGAGGGATGGACAGAGGGACGGAGGGATGGACAGACAGACGGACAGAGGGATGGAGAGATGGAGGGATGGACAGAGGGATGGACAGAGGGATGGACGGACAGAGGGATGGAGGGATGGACAGACGGATGGAGGGATAGATGGAGGGATAGACAGAGGGATGGACAGACGGATGGAGGGATGGACAGACGGATGGACAGATGGATGAAGGAACGGATCGACAGACGGATGGACGGATAGATAGGAGGACAGATGGACAGACAGCTATCCAGCTCGCTGGAAAGACAATCAAATGGAGAGATGGCTGGACAGATGGACGGCCAGATGGGCAGCTAGACGGAGAGCTGAAGGGACAGAGGCGTGAGCGGACGGACTGGCTGATGGCAGATGGACGGACAGACGGGCCAATGGACAGACGGAGAGGCGAATGGCTGATGGACGGGTAGACAGATGAGCCAGAGAGACGGACAGAGAGGCTGTGGGACAGACAGACTTGCAGTCAGATGGACAGATGGATGGATGGACGGATGGGCAAATGGCCAGGGAGATGGACAGACAGACTTACAGTTGGGTGAACAGAAAGACAGACGGATGGGGGACAGACGGCTGTATGGACAGGCAGATGGACAGACTTACAGTCGGATGGCCAGACAGGTGGGTGGACAGATGGACGGCCAGGCTTACAGCCAGGTAGATGTGGAGATAGATGGATGGACAGGCAGGTGGGAGGACAGACGGACAGATATCCAGGCAGACTTACAGTTGCTTGGACAGACAGACAGACAGATGGCTGGGCAGATAGGTGGACGGACGGACAGACGGATGGAGAGACAAGTAGACAGCTGGATCAAGAGGCAAACAGGTGGATGGATGGGCAGATAGACGGACGGCTGGACAGATGGGTAGAGAACCGGGGCAGCAGACAGACAGACGGACGGACAGACGGACGGGCAGGCGAGTGGGCAGCTGGCCAGGCAGCCTTACAGCCGGCCAGATGGGCAGCCAGCCAGCCGGACAGACAGCCAGCAAGGCCGGGCGGGAGGCAGCACCATTATATTTCACAACACCCAAGGGCCGGGTCGGCACCCCGACACCCCCCTCCTCCCCCGGGGGGGGGATGGGAAGGGAAACCCACCCCCCCCCACCGCGATGGGGGGAGGGGTGAGCCAGCCGATCCGCCTGGACGACCTGTTTTCGGAACTCCCTCAACCCCGTGTGCGGGGCGGCCGCGACGATGGGAGGAGCGGGCGTTTCCCCTTTGCCGAGGAACCCAGCAGCGTTTCCTCTGGGACATCAAAGCCATAATCACCCACGGGGCCGGGGAGACACCCACAGGCCACGCTCGCTCCGCTGCCGCGCGGATAAATATGCCCAAGCCACCGGCTCTCAGCTTCCCGACGTGTCGAGCCAGCCCCGTCCTTCTCCTCTGGCAGGTGAGTCCATCCCCGTGGCCAGGACCACGGACATCCCGCCGAGGGATGGATGCTACGTGGGAACCAGGCATCCGGGGGTTCTCCATCTCTTGGTGGATGTTTCTCACGGGTCAGATCAATCCATCCCCACGCGCTCAGCCCACGCGGTGGCTCTGGTTTGGACGGGTTTGGTGGGAACGCCCTCCGTATCCCAGTTGAGCTCGGATCTCCCCGTTTCGCGGCGACTGGGAGGGTGGTGGTCCTTCCTGAGCTCGTGCAGGTGGGTTTGGTGCCACCGGCGAGCTGAGCTCAACCGAAACAGGGTGGAGAAGAAGGACCGAGACCACCCCAAGGTCCGTAAGGGTGAAGGTGCACCAAAACACCGCCGGCATCTCGGTCACGTCGCCTCCATCCCACGCGGGACCTTCCCCGTAGCCCCACGTGGCACCAGCCGCTCTCCCGCAGCCCCGGGGCTGATCCAGTTTGGTTTCTCTGCCCCAGGAATGGCTCGTGACGGGCACAGGACCTTCGGCTTCATCTCCGTCTTCATCCTCGCAGCCGGATTGTTGCTGCCCACCCCGTCGCTGGCGCAAGCTCAGGTGAAGGTCAACGAAGGCTATGACCGTAAGTCAAACCAGTGGCCGAGGAGGGAGGATGGAGACACCACGGGTGTTTGACGGGCATCTTGTAGGGGAATGTGTCCAATGGGATGGGATGGGATGGGATGGGATGGGATGGGATGGGATGGGATGGGATGGGGAGATGCCTTCTCTTGGCTCGTGGGAATCTTGCCGACGGGAAGGTTTGGGCAAGGCCCTACAGTTTCGAAACCTGTTTTGGTTTCGGGCTGAGATAAAGCAACCACCTTGATGTGGAGAAATGGTCCCGCAAGAGACACAGCGGGAAAATTCCTGCCTCCCCTTGGAGGCGCTGGGATCTCCGGGATAACTTCTTTCCCTCCTCTGGAAGTTCGTACGGGGATTTCTGTTACAGCTGCAAAAAGAAGGAGAGCAAAAGAATCACCCAGGGTGAGGGAAAGAAAGGAGAGACTTAATCCCGATGGAAACATCCCCTTCCTTTCTTCTGGCCTCCAAAATGATGCTCCGCCCAAGGAGAACCCGACTGGATGGGGTGGAAAGAGGACTCCTGGGATTTCTGACCGTTGGTTGCGAAGACCTCGGATCTGACCCGATCTCGGTGCTTCTTAACCCAAATCCATGACCCCGGAGCTGAATCCGAAACGCCCAGGTCCTGCGGAGAAGGAACGAGGTCGTGTCCAGACACAACGGCTGGATAATTTGCCCCGTGACTGTCTAAGAACTGTTTTCTTGGGGGCGAGTTTATCACGTGGGATGGAGCCACCATCACCTTGGTTGGAGCTCTCTGGTTACCGGTAACCTCTGGAAAGCCAGGGGATGGATTCTACCAGAGGGCAGGATCCACCCTCTCCCGTTGCCCACGTCTTCACTGATTGACCTTTGTTGATGGATACCCTTCCACCCTGGGAGCTCAGGGAAGCTGCTGAGATGCCTTCAAGGAGCTTGGTGGAATCTAAACCTGCTGGTTGGTCTCGAAAGGCTCAAGGACGGCCCTTGCGGTGACCAGGGATGCTTCCCCGATGAGCTTTTGCGGGAGGATGATTTCCCACCCTCCGACTTTGGCAGCGTTGCCGGGACCGGATAGTGGCAAATTCCAGGTGGCTTGAAACTCGGGCGTCTCCTGTTGTCACAGGCTGTAATCCCCACCAGCACAAACCAGTCCCACTGGTAAATTCCAATGTCCCAACCTTTGGTGGAAGGCAATTGCAGATGCCGCGGAGCGGAGCCACCTCGCGCGCGCACTGCAGTCGATAAGGCTCTTCGCCCAGGTGGTCAAACGCTTGGAGTGGTGACTTCTCCCCAAAACATCTGGGGTGGCCCAGACCGCGACGTGAAGGACTCAGCCCCAACACCCATGAGGACATCTCAGAGCCCAAGGACTTGATGTCTCCCATTTGAAAGTCCTACTGGACGTTTTTGGGGTGGGAGGGAGGTCTTGTTCCTTGAAAAGACCCCTCTTTTTTTGCAGATGATTCCTTTTTTTTTTTTTGTAAATCTCATCTCCTCCCACTTGGCCACCACTCAGCATCAGGGATCTTCTGCGGTGGCCTTGGCCAAGGTGCCACCTGAGGTTCCCAAAAGGTTTTGCTGCTGGAGGCCAGGAGGGACGCCAGGAACGCGTCGCAAGGCTTTGGACTCCCGTTGCGTGGACACCCAAGCGGAGCTCTGCGTGGTCACAGCCTCAAGATGGTCATGGCCTCAAGATGGTCGCCCTGCAAACCTCATTCATCACAGAGCTCCTGAGAAGGGGAAGGGCACCTCATCTTGTAGGCGCCTGGCGTTGGATGGGGTGGGATTGTCTCTCAGAATGGTCCCTTCCTTTCTCCAAGAACGTCAGGCAACGCCAGCGGACACCCATCTGCTGTGGCCACCTAAAGCCTAGGGAGATACTTCTGTGGCCACCTAAAGCCGGAAGAGATGCTTCTGTGGCCACCTAAAGCCGGGAGAGATGCTTCTGTGGCCACCTAAAGCCTAGGGAGATGCTTCTGCGGCCACCTAAAGCCGGAAGAGATGCTTCTGTGGCCACCTAAAGCCGGGAGAGATGCTTCTGCAGCCACCTAAAGCCTAGGGAGATGCTTCTGCGGCCACCTGAAGCCAAGGGAGATGCTTCTGCAGCCACCTAAAGCTGAGGGAGATGCCTCCAAAGACCTGAAAGATGGGGAGATCCATGTCAGAAGTGGGGGCTTCAAGTGGGAAGACCCTGACATAACCGAAGACCCTCAAACCGAGCTGGTAGCCCTCTCTCTTTCTTCTCAACCTGATGGGACCAAGACACCTCGGGCTCCAGAGCGACGTAAGGACTCACATTCCTGAGCGAACTCCTCTTATCATTTCTCCCTGCGTCAGGGCTTCTTCTGCTTGTGTTGATGCAACCATCTCCTACCCTGGTCCTAACGAGGAGTCCTGGGTACGTGAGCCACCCAGGAGGTAGGAGACTTTTCGAGCAGGTCCTACAGGCTTTCTCACCAACCGAGGACGAAGAAATCAGCTCTTTTAGAGGTGCGTCATCTCCCTTTTGGAGTCCAATCTTGGGCTGGGAGGAATCTTAGAGGTGGAAACGGATGCCCCTCCCAGAGGTACATGGCGAAACCGGCGGAGATAAGTGGCCCCTGGTGACTTCCTGACGCGCGGTGATTTCCAAGACAGCTCATTGGCACAACCTGGCACGACAGACCGGTCCCCGGGGGGTCTCCTGGGAGCTCCCACCTCACTCCTCCACCTGGGCTGGGTGCTCGTGGAGTCCTGAGCTCCATCAAATGGCACCAGGAGAAAACGAGACCTTCAAGGACTTCTTCAGTCTTGGCTACAAGTGGTTGGATTTCAACGGGTCCCCAAATCATCTCTTTTTCATCCCCCCCCCCAAAAAAAAAAGCCTGGTGGGACCTCAGATAAGTGACCCAGTAAATTAAAAAAAACGATTATTTTTAGGTTTTTAAGGTGACTTTTGACCGTTCCGACGAGAATTTGAGGGTGAAAAAGAGAAACCTTTCGCTCTTCTCATTCATTTCGCCTTTTTAAAGACCCTTTTGCAACGTTTCGCTGCCTTTTCGACCCAAAGCCTCAGGTTTCTTTGGAAGACGCCGCGGCCGGGCTGCGGCCGCGCGACCGCGCTCACCGCGCCCTTGGGTGCTCTGTGTTACAGTGTCGGACCAGGACGAGTCCCGTATCATCGGCGGGCGACCCTGCTCCATCAACCAACGCCCTTTCCAAGTTGCCCTCATCAAGAGGGGTCAAATCCTGTGTGGAGGAAGCTTGATAGATGCCCAATGGGTCCTGACGGCTGCCCACTGCAGGCAGCCAATCAGGTAAGCCGGCTCCGTGCTCACGTGCCCCATGGCTTCCTATGAGCCAATGGCTCCTTTCCCAAGACCCTTCAATGACCAAGGGTGAGAGGTGGGGCTTCCAGGTGTTAGCGCCCAGATGTTGGCACTTCCAGGCGGCTGATGCCTCCAAAGGGTGGTATCCAGAGAGAGAGGCCCCAGATGTTGGCGCCGCCAAAGTTTGGGGCCTCCAGATGTGAACACGTTCAGCTTTGGGTGTCCAGATGTTGAGTCTGGCACCTCCAGGGACTGGTAGCTCCAGAAGCGTGTACCTCCAGAGGTATCCAGAGGTTGGTACATCCAGATATTTGTACCCCAGATGTTACCTCCAGAAGCTGGTGTCCCACCACCAAGTAGCTCTAGGTGTTGATGTTCCAGGCATGGGGATCTCCCATGATCTCCCAAGTGATGACACTAAGTGGAGCGGGTGCCCTGCCCCCCCCCCCAGTTTCTCCAGCTTCTCCTCAAGGTCCTGGGAGAGGAAGCTGGACCTTTAGGAAGGGAAATAATGGGGAAAAGAAGCAGAAGGGAAGTTGGCAAGAAGTTGGGCTCGGGGCAACGTTGTTGAGATGTTGCAGGTGGGACTCTTGCAAGATGGAGTCAAGGAGTTGAAGTCAAGAGACACCCCACCCCCCCCAACGGTTTCTCGTGGAGGTGGGAGATGCCCTCAGGGTACCTGAGCCATCAAAGAGCTCTTGGAGGAGAGGTGGCTCATGAATCCTCGAGCCTGTTTTCCCAGCCTCCTCCCCAAGGGAAACGGGATAAGGTGGTCCCACGGCCGGATCACCTTAACTCCGCCTTGCGGAGAAGCTTCAACGGACAGGTCTTGATCATCTCCTCGCTGGACAACCCCTGAGGCCAAGGGTTTAAGCGCCTCCTCGGGAGGGACCGGCACTGATTTCTTGACCTTCTTCCCCTGGCAGAGATGTCCAGGTGTTAATCGGGACGGGCACGTTACGGGATGGAACGGGAGAGGTGAGGTTGATTTCAAGACAAATTGTCCATCCGGCCTACAACCCCCGCAAGAATGACAACGACTTCATGGTCCTGCGGCTGAACAGACCCGTGCGCTTCAGCAACAGCATCAAGAAGATCAGATTAGCCACGAGGTGTCCCATGGACGGGATGAGGTGCACCGTCTCTGGCTGGGGCACGACCAAGTCCCCTGGAGGTACTGGCTTGTGGTGGAGACCTGGGTGGAAGAGGTGGGATGGGGGAAGGCAACGGGGCGGGGGAGAGAGCTTGCCAAGGAGGTCGGGTGGCCACCTCAGCTGGGAAAATGGGACAAGGGCTTCCCTGATGTCACCTTAACTCTGCCCAGTGAGCAGCTCCCCGCGGAGAACGACTTCTAGTTGGGTTTTCCTTGGGTTGACCCATCTCTGATGGAGGCATCTCCGTTGTCCACCTCCCAAAGAAGCCTACCAGAAGTGTAACGAGGTCTCCTCAGGCCTCAGCGTTCGGGAGTTGTCCCTTCTCACCCTCTCTCTCCATCCCCACCTTCTCCTGCAGCAAAGCTGCCCAAAGATTTGCAGTGTGCCACCATCGAAACCTTTGGGAGGGACAAGTGCGCCAGGGCGTACGGCAACGCCATCACCCCCAACATGTTCTGCGCCGGCGTCCCCCAGGGGGGCGTGGATTCCTGCCAGGTAAGAGCGGGGGTGACGTCCCTTCAGCCACCTCCGAGGTCGCTGCTGGGGAAAGGAGGGGTTTGGGGTGGCTTTGAGTTCCAACACAAGGTGGGATGGGTCCACGCAAGTCTTGGGTTCCTTTGAGCCAAGCTATAAAAAGCAAGGAAGGGCCACGGCACGTGGATGGGTCCATGCAAGGTCTGGGTTCTCCACAACTACCTCGTGCTTCAGCCACGGAGCTGGGGATGGGCTCTGGCACGTGGACAAGTTCATGCGAGGTTTGGGTTCCTCCACTGTTATCTCCAACCCTACCCATAAAACCAGGGAAGGGCCATGGCACATGGATGGGTCCACGCAAGGTTTGGCTACCCAACAACAACCTTCTGCTTGAGCTATGGGGCTGGGCCATGGCACGTGGTCATGTCCATGCAAGGTTTGGGTACCCAACAACAACCTTCTGCTTGAGCCACGGGGCTGGGTCATGGCACGTGGACGGGTCCACGCAAGGTTTGGGTTCCCACCACCGACCTTCTGCTTGAGCCATGGAGCTGGGGCTTGGCCATGGCACGTGGACGGCTCCGTGGAAGGTCTGTGAGCCCCACCACGTGCTCCTGTCCCCACAGGGTGACTCCGGGGGTCCCTTGGTGTGCAACGGGGTGCTGCAAGGCGTGGTCTCGTGGGGCATGGCCGTCTGCGGGCGCGCGGGACAACCCGGCGTCTACGCCAACGTCTGCCAAGCTGTGCCCTGGATCAGGAAATTCATCGGGAATCAGTGAGACCTCCAGCTCCACCACCGCCATCTTGCCCCTCCCCCCCCCCCCCGGGCCGTCCCCCGCGGGGGGGCGCCCCCCCCTTCTTT